CTCCTATAGATATATTACTGATCCACTCATTTTGTTTGGGGACTCGAATTAATGTTCCTTGCATATTGCTAGATTGGATACACTTCAACCTGGAAGACTGATGTGTACTGACGGAGCGGACAACTGAAATGAAGATTTTTCCTCGCTACAATCACGGTTATGTAAATTGAGGGACCATGTGGGCAAGGAACAGTTTCAGCAACTATTACACTGTGTTGATGTAGATACGCAGTTACGACTCAAAGTTTATATAACGTTTTAGTGATGTTTTCAACAAATAATATTGAATAGTCTTAGAGAATGTTTACTGAATCCAAATAGGATATAGTTCAAACGTGGAAAATTGGTAATTAAGTGATTTATAATTTCATTCATCACATGAATTTTCATATTAGTTTGCACACTTTCTCTTCTTTCCATTAATTCCGTTAGTCACTTTTAACAGATTTATTGGCAAACACAGGTACCTACTTTACCATTAATTGGATAGTTGGAACTTAGTTACTGGACGTACTGAAAATAATGGAACTGGAGGTACTGAAGATAATGGATCATTAATCGATACTTAGAATAATCAGCTTGTTTTGATGATTGAATAAATGACTATCGAAAATATTTTACATTAGGGCGAATCAAAAATAATAGTTCAGTTGTTGTATATTAATATATTGGAACAATATAAAAAATGTCCCATCTAAAACTCAATCTTTTTGAAAAACGTACATTTTGAACTGACTAGGAAGTTTGTTTATTTGCTTGATCAAAGATAAAGAATTACAAAATTGAGTTTGGTAGTTGGATGAACTCAAATTTAACAGTACATAGTCATTTTCAGACACATCACAAAACAATTTGTATTTTGATAGATTATTTTGAATAGAATTTATCAATACTTGGGGAAACATGCAGAATAATCTTGAGTTTATTCATTTGATCAAAGTTATGATATTATTAGTATGTATGGAAACAAAAAAAAGTCGTTTATTGAGAATCATGGACAATGGGTATTTCAACCGACATTATTTCTGTATCTCGAGTGTAACACATCGTTAATGACTAGATACAAATAAATACACATACATGTTTGCCTACATAAATACACATTAATTCGCATATATATGAAAAGCATATTGCCTACATATTCCATTAAAAATTCAAGTTTCCTAATTGAAAAATTCTTCTATGATGTAGCAGTTTTTGCGGAGTAAGTATTTTTTCAGTAGATTTTTGAAAATTGTTAAGGAAGGTGCATTCTTTATGTGATCTGCCAGAGAATCATAGCATTTGCATTCAATATATTTACTTGAGTGCATAACATCATTTTCTAAGTTTACCGCAGACAATATCAATATGTGAAATCCATGAGAGCTTTGAATTAAAGGTAATTCCTAGCATTTTGATAGATACAGAAGAAGACACGACGTTATTGGTATTTTCAAACAACAAAAGCTTAAGGAGTTCCCGACTATTTGAACGAAATATCAGGGCATTAGTCTTTGATTTATTAATTATTAAATGGATTTTGTCTGGCCATGGTATCACCTTAGCATAGGTAGTCTCAGCCTCAGGATCAACTAAAGGAATATTCTGCACACATGTAGAAGTTAAGTTACGATGTGATGGCAAATTGGTAATCAAGTGATTCATAATTTCATTCATTACATAAATTTTCATATTAATTCGCAACTTTCTCTTCTTTCTATTGGTTAATTTTAATCGACTTATTATCGATCAGGTACTTTAATTAGATAGTTGAAACTCAGGTACTCAATATTCAGCTACTTCAAATTTCAAAATATATGTATATATAAAGCGTTTATTATAGAGACTTCAGTTAATTTAGATTACGATATTATATTTACCACTGCACTGAAACATGACCAAAGTAGTGACTCCACCGTGAATATCAAATGAACATGTTGGCTCACGTTCAAGTTTTAGAAGTTCTCCAGGAAGCGTCTAGTCAGAATCCTGAAATTCTCAAGCTAGCAGAAGCTAGGTTGAAGGAATGGGAAACACAACCCAGATTCTATGGAGTATCAGTAAACATAATATCTAATGATTCATTCGATGTAGGTGTGAGGTGGATAGCTGTCATATACATGAAGAATGGAGTTGGCGAATATTGGAGAAGAAATGAAGAAGATATGCTCATCCAGCATAGGTCGTTGTTGACGTTACATCAAGTCGTGAAAGCGATTCCATTCAAGAGTTTGACAGCTGATCAACAGATATTTCGTGAACTCAATCTGAGCATAGAAACATTCATGAACATGGAGTCGATTGCAGTTCTGGTTTCAGAAGTTCTCCGGGAAACATCTAGTCAGAATCCTGAAATCCTCAATTCAGCAGTAGCTAAGTTGAAGGAATGAGAAACGCAGCCTGGATTTCATGGTATATTACAAGACATAATATCTGATCATACTTCTGATGTAAATGTGAGGCGGGTGGCTGTGATTTGCATGAAGAATGGTGTTGACAAATATTGGGAAAGAAATTCGCCAAACGCGATATCTGAAGAAGAAAAACGCTATATCAGGCAGGCGTTGCTGATTAATTTCACTGAACGAATCAGCCAGATTGCAGTGCAGAAAGCAGTTCTCATTGCAAAAATTGCTCGTCTTGATTATCCCGAGGAGTAGCCTGATCTTTTTCCTACACTTCTATCAGTAGTTGGAAATCCTGTTAATCTTGTTCAACAAAGGACGTTGTTAACGTTACACCATGTCGTTGTAGCACTTTCGTCCAATAGGTCGGCTCTTGACCTTGTTATGCATACATATGGTATTCAGATCTTCCAAGAGTGTACCCGTTTGATATCTGACCTCAAAAATGAAGAAGTTGTAACGAGGCTTGTTGACACTTTCATCAGAGCTTCGCCAGTTTTGGGAGCTGAAATAGTGCTTCCTATACTTCCAAAAATATTTGAGAAGATATATTGCGCTGAAGAATATTCATTACTAACGGCTATGTTTCTTTGTAGCCTAGCAAATGTGTTGTTATCATCACATGAAGTATTCACAAGGGTACTGATTGCCCTTGCCCAAGCTCACAATGAATCAGAATCGGTAACTTTTGGTAAAATTCTAGATGTCTGGCTGGATAAAATGAGATGTGTGGCTCAACTGGAACAAAGAAAACTGTTAGGATTGGCCCTAGCGAACTTATTGACTACTCGATGTGGACCTGTTTTTGCAAGATTTGACCTAATATTGTTGAACGTTTCAGAGGCTCTTAACGATATCACAAAAGCTGAAGATAATAGGACATTAATCGATTCTTTGGTAATAACGGAAGATTATTTCGATGAGGAGAGGGTTGGTTGCCATGAATCTGATTACGATCAGAGAAACAAACAACTTGTTTTGTCAGATCCTGTTCACACAATTATTTTCAAGGATTATGTTCAATCACGGTTATGTGAATTGAGGACCATGTGGGCAAGGAACAGTTTCAGCAAGTGTTACACTTTGTTGATGTAGATACTTACGCAGTTACGACTCAAAGTTTATATAACGTTTTAGTGATGTTTTCGACAAATAATGATATTCCTGTATGATTTCTCCGTGTTACTTGTATGTTGACAGTTGCAGTTGCAACAGTGACAGTTGCAATGTATACATTGAACTGTGTATTATTTTGTGATAGTAATAAACTGAAATTATATATTATCTTTGTGTTAAATCCTTGTACTGGGGCTAATCAGCCTGTTTTGATAAATGAGTGAATGACTATGATAGGTCTTTTTCATAAAGACGAGTCAAAGTTAATAGTTCGGTTGTTGTATATTAATTTATGTCCCAGGCAATGATTGCCTGGGACATTCGTTGCATTCGACCAGGGCATCTCAGCCCGGATTTTGTTCTTTTCAATCGTAACTCCGGACGTGAAAGCTACGGCCCTGAGGAGAATGTTATTGATGTACCTGTTACAAAATTATAAGTCACATCTAGGTGGATGAAAACCGACCTACTGTTCTTACCAGTGGTGTCAGACAGAACCACTAAAGCATAACTTGAATCTACAATCCTCAAAGAACAATCCTGAGCATAAGTAAGCATGGACGCTGACGCCGTCTATAAGATTGACCAGCTGAACAATGGTTCACACTTTTCACAACCTTATTTGCTGCTAGGTTCTGATTATTTCTAAATTTCAAAGATCATGATCAATTCAATAAGAAAAGTTTGTAATCATTCAATTTTATTTAGAAAAAAATTATGTTTTCTTGTTCCCATCGTGAGATATAAAACAACACAATACATGATATCCAAGTATATTTCTACGAATATGATATATATTTCACTAATTCGGAAAACGTACATTTTGGACTGACTAGGAAACTTGTTTATTTATTTGATTAAAGACAAGGAATAACAAAATTATGTTTGATAGTTGGATGCACTCAAATCTAACACTACGTAATTATCTTCAGACACATCACAAAAAAATTTGTATTTTGACAGTTATTATGATTTAATCAGTAGAGTTTTATGGAAACATTTGAGGTATACGTGGAACAATTATTTGAGCAGGATTTGTCAATACGGGAAAACGTGCAGAATAAATTTGAGTTCATTCATTTGATCAAAGATGCAATATTAGTAGTATGTATGAATACAAACAAATGTCGTTTATTGGGAATCATGGACAATGACATTTAAACAGACATTAGTTCTATAACACGACTGTTACACAACGTTAATGACTAGATGCAAATTTCAGAAAAAGAGTTCCCAACATTCAAAATTTGTTTTTAATATTTCATTATTTTTAAATGATTTGAGATTTTAAAATGGGAAATATTTAATTAAATCCTTATTGATATGCATTTAGAAGTTATTTGAGAAAGAAAGTTTTTGGCTTTCTACTACTCCATCTGATACAAANTAATATCAAGTTTATTCTATTTTCTCCTTCTGCAATTCACTTATATTATTAAGAACATTTTCAGAAAACTAAATTGCTAATAACTTTATAGGAAAATATTAGGAAAGTACCTGCTGTAGATTATTTAATCCTCTTCCGGAATTTTCAATTCACAACCCCACTATGATTCATAAATCAAACACCTCACAGTCCGTGTGACAAAAAAATAACTACAATTGAAGTGCAGATCTATTCATTCGTGTATAACTCTATGTACTAAAATAACTTTATGTACTGAAATAATTATCGATATTTGCTGCGCGTCGTTTTACAATGAACTAGTAGATGCTGATGAAAATCATTCAAATTATAGGCGATTAAAATTGCAGCATCATCCGCAACGAATATAATCAACATCTAGCCTAGCGGTGACATTCTTATGATCTTTGAGTACTTACCTGTCACAAAATGGAAACAATGCGGCCACGGCCCACTTGTTTGGGGATCCTCGTAATTACTCACAGTGCTGGAAAAATATATACTCATAGTTTTTTCATTCAATGTTTTATTCAGCGATCCGGATTTCCGAGAAATCCTTCAAACAATTCACACCTACTAACCAGAGGCGGATAATTGTGTTGATATTGGGGAATCACTCGAAGAAAAAAAATCAGGGGAATTTGGTGTTGTGTGAACAATTTTGCATGCATTTAACCTAGCATATTTCTGATAACATTTTTCAACAAAAATATCCATCTATTCATGTCGCCATATAATTTTAATCACAGCGCCCAATTACAAAAATCCTAAAACTGCAACAAAGTTTCTGGTCGTGATAAAGAACGCGTCTAGGATGAAAATTTCATTAGTGAAAATTGCAAAATTATTATTATGGATAACTATAGACCAGCAATTACAGAAATCAAAGAGTGAGAACTGCATATCAACATATTTATAGATAATGATAATAACGGTCAACAAAATCGCAACAAATATCTCACGCTTCTGGGACGTGTCTATTATACACTACACACGTCTCACTACTGATCATTTGGTTTTTATATTTGTTTCGTCTTTTTCTTACACCTAGTGGTCATTGAATTTGTGTTAAACTTTGAATTTAAATAACCCTTTCGTTCATTCTTTAAGATAGAAATTGAAAATTTTTTGTTTTGTGTACCTACTCAATTTGTCACTAAGTTTAAGGAATACCAATATTGATGCTACCATGTTTTACAAGTAGCATAAATAAGACCAATAAATGTAATAACACCATGAATCTCTAGAATGGTAGATTTTATTTTCAGTAAAACAATTTGAGCCCTAATATTGACGAACATAGTTTTTAATTGACCCAAAAGAGAATTGTTCGATTCAATTTCAATGTGAACATAAAATATTTTATGTAAAATATAATGGAAAATAGTTAGACAGATAATTTACAATGGAGATAATAAGATACTGAACAGTATGTTTTATTTTCAGTTGAGAATGTTCGAAAATTAATAGATTGAGAATTCGGCTCATTTACTGAATGGCCAGTTACTGCTTGTCTTAATCATCCAGAGGAGTGGCTTATAGACAATGAAGAAAAACTGAACTGAAGAAGAAAAACACTATATCAGGCAGGCGTTGCTGATTAATTTCACTGAACGAATCAGCCAGATTGCAGTTCAGAAAGCAGTTCTCATTGCAAAAATTGCTCGTCTTGATTATCCCGAGGAGTGGCCTGATCTTTTTCCTACACTTCTATCAGTAGTTGGAAATCCTGTTAATCTTATTCAACAAAGGGTGTTGTTAACGTTACACCATGTCGTTGAAGCACTTTCGTCCAATAAGTTGGCTCTTGACCTTGTTATGCATATCTATGGTTTTCAGATCTTCCAAGAGTGTACCCGTTTGATATCTGACCTCAAAAATGAAGAAGTTGTAACGAGGCTTATTGACACTTTCATCAGAGCTTCGCCAATTTTGGGAGCTGAAATAGTGCTTCCTATACTTCCAAAAATATTTGAGAAGATATATTGCGCTGAAGAATATTCATTACTGACGGCTGTGTTTCTTTGTAGCCTAGCAAGTGTGTTGTTATCATCACATGAAGTATTCACAAGGGTGGTTGCCCTTGCCCAAGCACATAATGAATCAGAATCGGTAACTTTTGGTAAAATTCTGGATGTCTGGGTGGGTAAAATGAGATGTGTGGCTCAACTGGAACAAAGAAAACTGTTAGGATTGGCCCTAGCGAACTTATTGACTACTCGATGTGGACCTGTTTTAGCAAGATTTGACCTAATATTGTTGAACGTTTCAGAGGCTCTTAACGATATCACAAAAGCTGAAGATAATAGGACATTAATCGATTCTTTGGTAATAATGGAAGGTCTGAGCCCTAGTCATTTCAATGAGGATGAAGATGGTTACTATGTACTTAGACTAATCAGCTTGTTTTGATGATTGAATAAGTGACTATCGAAAGTATTTTTCATTAGAATGAATGAAAAATAATAGTTCATTTGTTGTATGTTAATATATTGGAAGAGTATGAAAAATATCCCATTTAAAACTTTTAAAATGTTTGGATAAATAGATTCAAAAAGTCGGCTCATTTACTGAATGGCAAAATAGGATATAATTGCTCCCAGTTACGGAATATTTTTGCAAACGTGACAAATTGGTACTTGAGTGGTTCATAATTTCATTCAACACATAAATTTTCAAATTAGTTTGTACACTTTCTTCTTTCCATTAATTCAAGTTAATCGATTTATTGTCAAACACAGGTACCATTAATTGGATACTTAAAACTATGTACCTACTCAATTTGTCACTAAGTTTAAGGAATACCAATATTGATGCTACCATGTTTTAGAAGTAGCAAAAATAAGACCAATAAACGTAATCACACCATGAATCTCTGCACTGACACTTGTCAGATATAATTCAACGCCCTTCGAGGTATTAGCCAGGGGAGTAGTTGTTTTCTGATAGGTGTCAGTCCATTAACCTACAGTGTAGGGAGTTGAGACTGGCCTGAACGAACTGTTCCTTTAGATGATTTTCTTTACTGTTGTCATGTCCAAGATATGATATTTTGGATTTAAAAACGCTACATTTGCTTAAAGATGATTAAAGTGCCGCATCTTGTAAGCGTGAAAGAACTGTTTTTGAACGATAAAAAAAATGTTCTTCTCTATAGTCCGTTCATAATTTGTCGATAGCACAAAATAGGGCCCAAGTCATAAAACGGTCGTAAAACTCGTAAAATCATAGGCGGAGGCTCCTGAGGTGTTTATTCATTAAATATAAAGCTTCAGTTTATATTCGAAACTCGCTTCGAAAGGGTGAAGTTGTTACGAACGAAAATAATTTTTGGTTTAGTACATTTTTTAATCGCATTTAATTTACGGCTCGTTGGTGTTATGTTTGAAGGCCTGCTTGATGGTTGTTTGAAGCGCGCGTCACGCGGCTTGATCAAACATTTGATCAAACCGCTTGATCGTTTAGGGAGTGCTTAAAGATATGGGATGAAATCAAAGGATGCAATCTTGTCAAGATCACCCTGGGCGACCCTGGTAAGCTGTCGCCGACCAGGAAAAATCTACGCTTAACAGTATGAGTACTGATTCCTGCGACAGTTCTTCTGTCTATCTTCTTATTCTGCAAATTTTGTCATCGTAGAATTCTGATATCAATGTATCAATTCAAAAAAATCGTACCTATGTGTTACAGAATTCATCATAATTCATTACCTGTTGAAATCATATACGGTATAGTATTTATTTTTCTATTACTTCAACTGAGGGTTATTCAAACTTTGGAATTTATTCATTTTAAAAATTAAAATTGATAATATAATATCAAGTTTATTCTATTTTCTCCTTCTGCAATTCACTTATATTATTAAGAACATTTTCAGAAAACTAAATTGCTAATAACTTTATAGGAAAATATTAGGAAAGTACCTGCTGTAGATTATTTAATCCTCTTCCGGAATTTTCAATTCACAACCCCACTATGATTCATAAATCAAACACCTCACAGTCAGTGTGACAAAAAAATAACTACAATTGAAGTGCAGATCTATTCATTCGTGTATAACTCTATGTACTAAAATAACTTTATGTACTGAAATAATTATCGATATTTGCTGCGCGTCGTTTTACAATGAACTAGTAGATGCTGATGAAAATCATTCAAATTATAGGCGATTAAAATTGCAGCATCATCCGCAACGAATATAATCAACATCTAGCCTAGCGGTGACATTCTTATGATCTTTGAGTACTTACCTGTCACAAAATGGAAACAATGCGGCCACGGCCCACTTGTTTGGGGATCCTCGTAATTACTCACAGTGCTGGAAAAATATATACTCATAGTTTTTTCATTCNAATATAATTGTTATTTTTTCAGCTAACCTTTTTATTTTTCATTTTTTACAGATTTTTTCAGGTTTTCAAATCAATTTATATCATACTAGACAATGAAGAAAAACTGAACTGAAGAAGAAAAACACTATATCAGGCAGGCGTTGCTGATTAATTTCACTGAACGAATCAGCCAGATTGCAGTGCAGAAAGCAGTTCTCATTGCAAAAATTGCTCGTCTTGATTATCCCGAGGAGTGGCCTGATCTTTTTCCTACACTTCTATCAGTAGTTGGAAATCCTGTTAATCTTGTTCAACAAAGGGTGTTGTTAATGTTACACCATGTCGTTGAAGCACTTTCGTCCAATATGTTGGCTCTTGACCTTGTTATGCATACCTATGGTATTCAGATCTTCCAAGAGTGTACCCGTTTGATATCTGACCTCAAAAATGAAGAAGTTCGCCAATTTTGGGAGCTGAAATAGTGCTTCCTATACTTCCAAAAATATTTGAGAAGATATATTGCGCTGAAGAATATTCATTACTGACGGCTATGTTTCTTTGTAGTCTAGCAAGTGTGTTGTTATCATCACATGAAGTATTCACAAGGGTACTGATTGCCCTTGCCCAAGCTCACAATGAATCAGAATCGGTAACTTTTGGTAAAATTCTAGATGTCTGGCTGGATAAAATGAGATGTGTGGCTCAACTGGAACAAAGAAAACTGTTAGGATTGGCCCTAGCGAACTTATTGACTACTCGATGTGGACCTGTTTTTGCAAGATTTGGCCTAATATTGTTGATCGTTTCAGAGGCTCTTAACGATGTCACAAAAGCTGAAGATAATGGGACATTAATCGATTCTTTGGTAATAACGGAAGTTCATTTCGATGAGGAGAGGGATGGTTACCATGAATCTGATTACGATCAGAGAAACAAACAACTTGTTTTGTTAGATCCTGTTCACACAATTATTTTCAAGGATTATGTTCAATCACGGTTAAGTGAATTGAGGACCATGTGGGCAAGGAACAGTTTCAGCAAGTGTTACACTGTGTTGATGTAGATACGCAGTTACGACTCAAAGTTTATATAACGTTTTAGTGATGTTTTCGACAAATAATATTAAATAATTGATTGATATTTCTGTATGATCTGAAAGAATTTCGATTTTCAATTATGGAATATGATTGATTTTAGGTCTATGATGGCCACTATCTTGCACTGACGAGTGGCTAAGGAGCACGAGACCGGTCTGCAAGTGTGCCCGTTCCAAAATCGAAGGTCGACCCTCTCAGTTGTATTGCCAATTGCATATGCAGGAAATTTTCTGTGAAGATTCCTTCACTGACTGACGCCTGTCGGATATAATCCAACGCCGTTCGTGGTATTAGCCAGTGGGGTAGTTGATTTTTAATAGTCGTCAGCCCATTCTGCCTGGCTTGAACATTCAAAGTTCATTTCTTTAGATTTCCTGGAAATTACCAAATTATAGAAAGAAACAAAGAGATGACGAGAAAAGTTTCTTCAGGCACTTCCAAAGACTTTTTTAGGGTGGTTCCACAGTTTCAAGGTTACAGAAATGTTCAATTATTTACAAAAAAGCTTTGATAAACTAAGAATTTACTTAATTTACACAGGGCTGCTAATAAAACCAGAAGAATCAGATATCAAACTGAAATCATGGCAAATAAAGTATGTATCGATATGTGAAAACATGATGAACCAGCCATAAAAAACCGTATTTAAAGTTCTGTGAGTCCGACTCTTCTCGAGAGCAACATTTCAAATAAAAACCGTTGGTGGATGATAATGAAACGGATTATCATAACATTTTATTCGGAGATTTTCATCGTGACACATATTTCACTATAGGAAAGCTTTTTCAGACATTTTCGATGGGATATTAAACATACCTGAAGAAGCTATTTGTTGTATAATAGTGAAACACATGTCGCGATTTGTAATAATGTATTTCTATTAGAATAAGTCAGTTCCATCATACAGGGTGTTTCAGAATTCGACGGACAAACTTATACCACGTCATTCCTCTTGCAAAATGATGAAAAATGAGGTAGGACATGTGTGTCCGGAAATGAGCCGTTTCAGAAATACAGGGCGTTGAAGTTGCAAAATAAAAAGACCCTTTTCGTCNCGACTGATACACAACGTTAATGACTAGATGCAAATTTCAGAAAAAGAGTTCCCAACATTCAAAATTTGTTTTTATTATTTCATTAATTTTGAATGATTTGAGATTTTAAAATGGAAAATATTTAATTCAATCCTTATTGATATGCATTTAGAAGTTATTTGAATTTTTTTCACTTTAGATCTCCTGTAGCAAACACGAAAAGTTTCTACCTTGAATATTTTGTGTCATTAATGTGTAGGATCAACTACAAGAACACTCTGCACACAAGTAAAAATTAAGTTATTATGCTATGGAATTGGTCGATACTTGATGGAAATTCATAAAGTTTTCAAGTACCAGTAAAACTTCATTATGACATTATCACTGAACAGTTACCAATCCGCAACACGTATTTCGCTACACAATAGTGTCCTCTGCCGTGTTCATACTTTACTTCACGCCTGAGGAAGCTATTATATAGCAAAAAACGTGTTGCGATTTTATAAACTATCCAGTGAAAATCTCACAATAGTGTTATCATAAATGGTGAATTCTGAAATCAACTCTTTTTAGTTGATTTCAGTGATAGTTGTTCAGATATAGATAGTGATTTTTCTCCTCTTTCAGTTGAGGTATTTCATATTCATATGAAAATATCTTGTTTAAGTTTAACACCGGTATGGTAAAAAAAGTTTATCCTACTATGGAACGAATTGAACGGTACAAAGTAGTCCACGTCTTTTCAAAACATTCGCCAGCCTTTCATATTTTTTTTCGTTTTCTGAAAATAGGAAATCCATTCCCTTTATGTGCAAACATTTATTTGTTTATTTGTTCTGCACTCGAAGCCAAAAAAACATAATTTAAGGTATCAAATCGAAGTATATAACTCATTTTTCCTTCCTTATTTCAGTACGAGCATGATATCATTCATTTCTATAAAGGACAGGCTAAGTTTAAATGTGCCCATAGGCCCACTGACAGCTGAATAATTGAATAAAGCATTTGAAATCATCAAATGACAACTGCTTTTTTCAACAACTGGAAAATTGAGTTCTTCAAGATATGAAAACACCAAACCAATGTATTTGTATAACTAGACACCAAAATCTATCTACTATAAAATAGGTAATTCATCGGCTTGCATCAACAACAAATCACAAGTCTTCAACAATTTTTAGTTGCTTCCACCTTATCCTCCGTAATATCAATAAAACTGAGATCGTTCTTCAACAATTTCATCACAAACTCATTCACACTTTCATTGTTGATCTCCAACCCATACTCCATGACAGCGAATCTCCTTCTAGGTAAATCGACAGCAACCAATAACGGCATTACGTCATCCAGTCCAATTAGGTCTCTGAGAATGTCAGATGTTTCGCTGTCTACGCCGATGAGAAACTGAAGATATGGGTCTTCTTCTATATTTAAAAAGAAATCTTCTTGGGCAGAACTGAAGTTTATATTACTTGTTTCGTAATAGTTTTCAGCCGCAGGAGCTAGTACGGATTCAGCAAATTGAACCTCTGTATCTTCACCATCTATAAAAATGAAAATTATAAGATAAGATTATTGTTGATTATCATTTGGTGAAGTTACATCTGTATATACTCAAACAAATTCAGTTTAAATTGGTATTTGTCGTTAACACATATGGTACCAACCAAATGGTTAGTTTTTTCCTGCTTGCTGGGAGCTACCTGACTTATCCGTTTATTCCACGACTCTGGTAAACCTTGCAGCATCAAGGACGAATTGCATTTCCTCCCATTTTTCATGACACCCATTCCAACAATTTCATTTTCTGTACTAGGCTATACTAGGCTATATGTCTCTTGCTGGACATATATCATATTCTTCTGGACATAATTTGGGTTCTCTATAAGTTTTTCGCCTCTTGTGATTCAAAGATTCGCATTCGCATCATGAAATATGTGGAGCTATCTCTCTCCCTTCGTTGCATTGACTGCAGCCAAGAACTCGGTTGTGAACAACCATATTTCGTTCAGGTGTCCTCTCAACAGACAGTGTCCAGTAAGTAACCCATCAGTGGTTTCGAACCCGATTTCTGCTTTGTTGAAACACTTTTTTGGTTCTCTTTTCAAACGATGTCTTTATAAAAAATTTCCCGTTTGTATTCCATTTTTTAATCTGATTTCGTATCCAAAGATTTTGGTACCCGCACAGCGGATTTAGGTCATATAATATGAAGTCAAGCATCTGTGTCTGGCACACTCGTCAGTTCTTTCGTTGCTCGGGATATCTGAGTATCCTGGCACCCTGTTCACAAGTTTCCCTCAGTTCAATGATCCTAGAGAAACCTGACTGTGATCTATTGATCCAAGTAATATAGCTACAGGAGTTCTGGCTCATTCCTTATGAAAAACGCGTGCAAATTTGCCTAGGTCCATTCTGGACCTTTTTGGAACTCCAATTGGAACCTTGTGGAACACCCAACTCAAAATAGGTGTGACGTAGTCGTCCCCCATTTCTCCACAGAAGCTACCGCGCGTACAGCGGAAAATTCAAATCCAGTAGAGGAGCAAAGCGTCTCCGAGCTCACTTCAAGGTCATGCGTCGTTGGTAAGTGTTTCAGAGAGAGACTTTTAACGACCCGGGTTCAAATCTCATATCGATGAGTTTTTTTAATTTAATTTCACTCAGCTGCCGATGATCACTAGGATCACGTGACTGATGCGCGACAAGGGGGGTGGAAGCCTGAGCAGTGAGGCGGAGTCCCAATGGGGTCAACGCTCTTTGAATCTCTTCGACACTCATTCCATCCTTCTCTGCATCGGGAGTTGAGGAGGGAAACGTGTGACGTAATCGATGCAGAGAAGGATAGAATGAGTATCGAAGAGATTCAAAGAGCATGGGCCCCCTTGAGACTTCGCCTCACCGCGTCAGGCCTTCACCCCTGAGCCCCCTTGTCGCGCACCAGTCATGTGGTCTTAGTGATCATCGGCAGCTGAGTGAAATTAAATTAAAAAAACTTATCGATATAGATATAAGTTTGAACCCGGGTCGTTGAAAGTCTCTCTCTCTGAAACTCTTACCAACGACGCATGATCTTGAAGTTAGCTCGGAGTTGCTTTGCTCCTCTACTGGATTTTAATTTCCTGCTGTACGCACGGTAGCTTCTGTGGGGAAGTGGGGACGACTACGTCACACCTACCGGGTATTCCACAAGGTTCCGATTGGAAGTCCAAAAAGGTCCAGAATGAACCTACGCAAATTTGCACGTGTTTTTCCATAAAGAATGAGCGAGAACTCCTAAAGATATATTACTGATCCACTCATTTTGTTGAGGGACTCGAATTAATGTTCCTTGCGTATTGCTAGATTGTATACACTTCAGCCTGGAAGACTGATGTGTACTGACCGAGCGGATAACTGAAATGAAGATTTCTCCCCGCTCCAGACCCCCCCAAAATCTGTATACCAGTTGTTTCCGCCTAGTAGAGTAAGAATATTAGCAAGAAATTTGTTTTGATTTATGTTAGAGTATTCATACATGGGATGTTTCTTCTCCGCTTTCGAAGCATTGTTCATGAGATGGAGCTGTTACTAGTTAACAAACTTTTCTTTCCAACGAAGGTTTCAAACATTCAGTCGGGCCATATTTGATGTCAATCGAGTCCTAGGCACACTGTTACTTGGTTCGGATCCTTCCTGCAGTGACGAGGTGTAATATCTCGAAACTGACCTGATTAATTCCACTGCGATCCTGCTGCTGGTTGAACGAAAATCATCTGCAAGACTATCCTCCGTATTGTAATTTCCATAAATGTCTGTCGAATATAATTCAATGTCCATCGTGGTATTAACGGGGAAGTAGTTATTTTACGGCAGGCATTTACCTTCTGGGTAGGTGAACGTTCCTACTGTGTAGAAGACAAGACCATTCATGTAAAGAAACCCATCAATGAAGTTATTTGAATCGTTGAATCGATTTGAAAAACAGCAAAGGATATAATGAATAGAAATATGAAAGGTAACGATGTCTGAAATTCAAAAGTATCAGAGTATAATAAAAAGAAATTAAATTCATTGGAATATTCCAAAGCAAATATTCGAATTGTAATCCGTTAACATTGATATAAACAATTTTCGAATTTCCTAAAAACATCTCGAATAGTATATAGAGTGATTTGCTTAATTCTCTGCTTGATTTTGTTTTCAAATTTTCACCCTGGACGGGTTTGGTATACTTTCGAATTCGGATCACCCTTTCAAATCGTATCATGATTGCCAATTCACGAAAAGTCAGTTCAAGTACGCTTATAATGTAAAGGAGCTCCTGTTGATACAGTATATTTATGTCAATGTCTGTAGTACTGTGTTCATCTGGTCTGGATTTCTGACCATACTGGCCTGGAAGGCAATGATGCTGCCGACTCCCTTGCAAAGGAGGGTGCTACAAGCAGCTTCATCGGACCAGAACCTGTCATTGGCATCGCTTCAGACATTGCTAAACAAAGATTGAACATTCTGGTAAAATCTTTCAGGATTGGCTCACTCCAAGGCGTTTATTCATTCTTCGAAGCTTGATACCAATCAGTTGTTGAACTACAGTATCATGATTGCCAATCCACGAAAACTCAGTTCAAGTACGTTTATAATGTAAAGGAAGTCATTCCTGTTGATACAGTATATTTATGTCAATGTTTTTAGTACTTTGCTCATCTGATAGGGATCATTCCAACGTTGATCTAAAGTGATATCTTCACTGTATTTTTTGAAACTCATCAATTATTTTTCCTAGTAGGAAAAAACAACACATTTTTTATATGTAATTACTAGGTTAGTTAACTACGTAGTTCATTATACTCACCTACAAAAAGGACTACTGCTGGATAATCATACAGTTTTGTTAAATATCGTTCAGTTAAAATATTTACAGGTCTCGGTTTCCAAGGAAAGTACTGCAAAAAAAGATTTTGACAAAAATATTTTAATGTTCCTCAATATACATAATGTTTCAGCGAAGGTATTGGAATTTTTTCAATAGTGACTGATGATTTCTTGATAATTATTTCATTACCTGTGCCAAAGGATCTTCAGCCAACTCAGTTCTGGCGTCCATAGTTATTATATGGCCGTTGCTGTCCAATAGCAGCAATGTCGGAATACCTCGTATTCCGTAGAGTTGAGCTAATTCCGCTCTCACTGCAGTTTGTTGAAATGGTACCACAATCCAAGGCATTGACTCAATATAGGCACTGAATGATTCGGCACTCCTAGAAAGATGAAAATATGTTCATTTCAAAAATGTTACTTTTTGGATTCATGTGGTTGCGAAGTGTCTCTAACCGTTCATAGGAACTGAATATGATATTCATATGGCAATCTTCGTCCTTAATTTATTAGTATTAGGTTGTTTCAAAAGTTTTGTCCGTTTTAATGTCATGTGTTTTTGTAGCTTCATATGTCAATACATATTTATTCCACTGATCAATAGAGAATTTGTACTCTGTACATTGATGATGTTCATTTTTTTTTTCCAAATTTTAACATATAGTCAGTGGGTATACTTGAAGACTGGCTATAAATCAAATCATCTAATGGAACAATTCGTTCTTGCCAGCCTCAACTCCCTACACTGTAGGTTAATGGACTGACACCTATCATAAAACAACTACTCCCCTGGCTAATACTACGAAGGACGTTGAATCATATCCGACAGGTGCCAGTGCAGAATTCTTTACTGAAGTTATTCCCGCATATGCTTTTGGTGATACAAGTGCCGCAATAGATTTTCAATTATTGGAACACATTTGCAGACCGGTTTTGGGCTGTTTGGCCACTCGTCAGTGCAAGGTAGTGACTATCATCAACATAAAGTCGATGATTTCCGGTAATTGAAAATTGAGTTCCTTCAGAGTATCATTTCTCGAACTAGGCTGAAGCGGACAACAAACAACTAGTTTGTCATCGCCCCATCGTGAACGAGGTAACCAACCGCATATCCGAATATTACTGCCAGGATACTACACATTACTACATGATTTTATTCAAAGATTTTCGATCAATTTTTCTCTACGAATTCAAATTGAACCAAAGCGCTGCCGAAACAGCCCGAAAAATTAACGAGGCATTTGGCAGTGACAGTGTTGATGAACGCACTGTTCGACGTTGGTTTGTGAAATTTTATTCCGGAGATTTTAACCTCGAAAATGAGCCCCAAAGTGGCCGACCTGCAGTAATCCAGGACGAGCATTTGAGGACCCTGGTGGATAATAACCCATCGCAAATGGTACGTGGGATGGCAGTGTAACAGGAGTTGTTCAGGAGAGTGGTGGGACACTGATGAGCCACCCAGGCACTTCTCCAACGCGAAAACCCCCCAAAAGACCATGGTTACTGTATGGTTCTCAGCGGTTGATGTGATTCACTATATAACTTTCTGCAACCGGGACAAACCATCACAACAGAGTCCTATTGTGAGAAAGTTAACGAAATACCTGCAGCAGCAGGCACTGGTCAACAGTTGAACAGAAGAGGTCTGATCCTGCTTCACGACAATGCCCGTCCGCACGTTTCACAAATCACTGTCCGAAAATGAACCGAATTCAGCGTCGAAGTTCTGCCTCAACCACCATATTCCCCAGACCTCTTGCCTTTCATTTTACAAGTACTTCGATAACTTTCTCACCGGTAGAACCTCAGCCAATCAGGAGCAGGCAGAAATGGCCTACGTCGATTTTGTCGAATTCAGAGTACCCAATGTTTATGCCGACGGAGATAATCCACTTGTGTTACGTTGGTAAAAGTGCACAGATTCAAATGACACTCACTTCGATTTAATTCAATAAATATTCACTGATATATTACGGTTTGAAATAGACTCATAATAATGGACAAAACTTCTGAAACAATCAATAGCTCAATGAGGGATAGAAATAAACTGAATATGTACAGGTTTTATCGAAAGTAATATACCAAGACCTCATAATTTCATCGATAAATTTAAATTTTTTAATGAGAACTTTGTTATTTAGCGAAACGTTGAGAGCAACCAGCATTAAATGGCAACGATAATATTTGTTTGAAAGTGCACTTATAAAAGAAAGAGTGTTCGAATATATAAACAGAGTACGTAAATGAAACTCGCATTTTTCAACAACAGGATTTCATTGTTAAAATCTATCGTGCCTTGACATGCAGAGACGGCACTCGAGATGCGTTAACTGTACGTCTCTTATTGTTTTTGATTTCAATGAAATTGCCTACTATTGAATCAAACAGTTTGATCTTCCTCTTGAAGATGATCACTTGGTGGTCGAAACACGTGTCGAGGTGTTAAAATAACATTTTTGTGTTGAGAAAAAAACTCCAGTAATATTTATCTCTTTAATACTGCTCATTTGTAGCAAGTCAAGCATTAGAAGTGGAATCATTAATAAAAAAAGTAGAAATAGGGAACAATCTGAAAACAGAAAATAGTACTGCTTTTTTTGACATTCTACCAGAACATTGTAGAGCCGAAAACTTGGAACATCGCTAGTCAACCAACTGTAAACTAAGTACCTATATATATTTTATATTTATATGCTATTATATAGTAAGCAATTCCTTATGGGAACCGACTAGTATGATGTTAATTTGTGAAAAAATTATATGAAATAAATGGCATTAAATAGCTTCGAAAATTATAAATAATAGTCAGATAAAAATTGGAAAGTTTATCTAGGGATATACTCGTGTTCTGATGGATAAATGAAATTCAAAAATTAGATCAGTTTAAACTTCCAAATGCCATATCGGCATGTTCATGTAAATTTGACACAGATACACAATAAGCGCGGATCTTCTTCAAAAAAACATCTTGAAAACGTTCATGTAAAAATGGAATAAAATACGACATTTATCATCTGAAGTAAGGAAATTTGTGCTATCTTGAGGGTGATGACTGGAACTGATAAATAATAAAAAAAAAATATTTCAGATGAGTTTCGCAATGATGAATTATGATTTCAACATTCAAGAAACTCTTTAGAAATCTTTGCAGCATGCAATGAATAAATTAGTATAGTAAAAAATATATTTCATTCAGCCCTTGATAACTGATCAACTTATATCTATCTCTGCCATTTGAAAACAATTTTATGTTGCTTTTCAAGTAACCTTTGTTTCTTCGGCAGAAGATAATCTCGTATCATCAACAATTCCATGACCCTTATATGTATATCCTTTTACAGTCACGCCTAGAAGGCAAAACATTTCGTGTGATGAATATGTTTCCCGTAAAAGTCCATGTGATAAAAGGTTCTTTACTATTTCATGATAAAGCTATATCAGGGTGAGGCGAAGTTATAAATTGAATCGGAAATGTCGAGCTGGACGCCAGGACATAATAAATTCAGCTTTTCAATGCTCCCAGGGTGTCAGATTATGATCACACACGTTTCATACCTGACAGGCACTAGAGAAAGTTAAAATGATTTTTATTAACGAAATAGTTACTGAAATTATGATAATCACCATTGATCAAACTTTTTTAAGATCAATCAATAAAAGAAATCCTACTCCGAGCACTATTTGGAGTCCTTGAAATTTTTTCATATTAGTCAATGGGCTATGCTTGAAGACTAGCAATACCGACCTTCAATTTTGGAACGGGCACACCTGCAGACCGTTTTCGTGCTCCTTAGCCTCTCGACAGTGCAAGATAGTGACCACCATCGACCTAAAGTCAATAATATTCCATAATTGATAATATAAATTCTTTCAGAGTATTTCATTCCTCGTCTTGAAGCGAAAAAGTTTCTTATTAGTCAGTGGGCTATGATTGAAGACTGGCAAATAAACAAAGTTTTTCTTCCTTATTCAGAGGAATCGGGCAAATTTCGGATATGCAGTTGGTTAGTACCTCGTCCACTAGATGGAGTGACATTTTTGTTGTTTGCTCCAACTTAAGACGAGGAATTAAATACTCTGAAAGAATTTCGATTTTCAATTATGGAATATGATTGACTTTAGGTCTATGATGGCCACTATCTTGCACTGACGAGTGGCTAAGGAGCCCGAGACCGATCTGCAAGTGTGCCCGTTCCAAAATCGAAGGTCGACCCTCTCAGTTGTATTGCATATTTTTTCAAAACTACCTCCATATCAGTATCAGAAGACAGAGCCTGACTAGTAGAATAGTAGAACACTTTGAAAAAATGCAAATTCAAAATGGCCGCAGCTGCAAAATGACGGATTACATATTTTTTCACAACTACCTCAATATGGGTATCAAATGACAGGGCTTGACTAGTACTATTGTAGTACACTATGAAAAAGATGCAAATCCAATATAATCTATACAAAAAATTTTGTCAACTCAGAATCGAGATACAAGCATGAATCTTCCATCCAAGTCAAGATTTTGTATCGTGTCGAGGACTGTGTGGCGTTAGGATGGCTAAAAATGATACGTCGTTAGCTTCACACCACCCAAGTTAAGGTATAAGATTAAAACGTGCCGAGAACTGTATGGCATTAAGTAAAAAATTAAAAACTGAAAACTTGAAAATAAAATAAGTGAAGAAAAAATTCATGTTAAGCTATTTTATTGAAAAATAAGTGATAAACATGATAAGAATAATGTAGAGAAAACTAAAAAATAATCCGGAAGGTCCTAGGTAGCGGACATCACACCAACGATTTTATTATGTTTTTATCTAATCAATACCGTAGATTGCTGAGGCGAGTGGTGTGATGACTACTACCTAGGACTTTACGAATTATTTTTTATTCATAAGTACATTATCTACATCATAATTATGTAGAATGTAGAATATTAAAATTGAAAATCAACGTGTTTCAGGTTTTTGTAAAAGGATCTTTGGTTTTGGAAATATCGAATTTACTCTATACTTTGCGGACACACTGTATAACCAATTTTAACGACCGCCTGATGAATCTGTGTATATCGCATCAACTTTTACTAGACCAATGTTTCACGAAAATATTGATCATTGGATCTAGAATTCGTGACACCATGATGAAAATTAGATATACAGATATACAATGCCTATATCTGAGCAACCAAATTAAATATAAGAAATCGCAGAAAACAACTTCCATAATAGGAAAGTGTATGTCTCTCTGATTCTCTAATTCATAAACTATCGGAGGTTCGACAGTGAGCACACATTTCGCCATTTAAATTTCCTTCTATGAATAATGTACCAATAATTGCATCTACCAATATACCATCCCAAACATTAACTTTTTCGGGGTATTGCGTGTGCTCCTCTCTAAATAGTCGTGAGTTCTCGTCACTCTAATAACAATAGTTTTGTTCATTTGCGTGCCCATTTAAATAAAAAGTGTAGTCGTCACTGACAAAAATATTTTTTATGAGCTGAGGTTCTGCGATAATTTTAGCTGTCATAATTTCATAAAACTCAATTCTTCTGTCGGGGTCATCGTCATAAAGTTCTTGAAGGATTTGTATCTTATACGAATGAAATTTATGTAATTTGAGTACTTTTCTTATAGATTCGCGGGATAATCCGGTTGTGGTATCTGCCTAACAAGTCGATAAAGTATGATTCATTGAAAACTGTCCCGAGTACTTCAATTTGCGTTACTTCGTCAATAATCTTGGTTCTACTAGTAGTACTAGTTGGGGAATGTACACATGAGTCACATTTCTCTCTGGGTGCCTCTGGTTAAATACTTCAGTTGATCTTAACAAACACTGATCTTCTCTACCATAAATAAAAATGATCTCCACACGTTCAACTGTATCATACATGATTGTTGCAGATAAAAATTCTGTTTCTCGTGGGCAATGTATCGAAATATAAATCAAATGTATCGATAGTAAAGGTCTATTCACATTATAGTTCAGATCACGCTCAGCTCACACTCTACTCAAACCGCGGTCAAATATTATTACTTGCTTTCAAACGAGACTATTCATACTTGGCGCTTCGCTCACGGTACGCTCATGCTCATTGATCGTGGTCTTTCTTTCCACGGATATTTTGAACGGACCGTGAGCGAACCGTTGTGCTAGTATGTACAAATGACACTTAGTCGGTGTCCATTTTTTCCCTGAATACCTTGTGTTTCTTTGAGTTAGTTAGGCAAAATGGATGAAAAATTAATAGAATTGGTTAGGAATCATGAAGAATTATACAATATGGGCGACAAATTACGCTTTGACACAGCACTGGAAAATAGAATATGGAGGGAAATTGCAGAGAAATTAATTGAAACAGGTAAATATATTGGAGTTTCTTTAATGCAAAAATAATTATGATGTAGATACGTATCCATACAAGTATAATAAGATCAATTTATATTTTATTTATTTGCCATGGAACTTTTCCAGCTTCCGTGTTAAAAAACTGTTTAAATATTTCCCTACATTGAAAAGCATCTTCGCCAGCATTGCCTCCTTGATTTGGCAAAGAAAAGAACTGAGACTGCTCTTCTTTACTTCCATCTGACGTATCAGCTGAACCACAGTTAAATGATGCACAATCCCGCAACAAATTATGTAAAATACATGTAGTTAAAATAATTTTCTCGACATTTCCTGGATTCAAATGCAATTTTCTAAAATAAAGACGAAACTTTTGAGCTAAAATTCCAAAGCTGTTTTCCACTATACGGCGAGCGCGGCAGAGACGGTAATTAAAAACACGTTTTTCCATATTGACAATAGTTTGAGGTTCAGGATATGGTCTCATAATATTCCTTTTCAAAGGAAATGCCGAATCCCCTATTATTACATATGGTGCCAGAATGTCAGTTCCAGGAAGAGCCACGTCTTCTGGAATGTCTAGTGTTCTAGTGTTCCTAGTGTCTAGTGTTCCTCTGGAGTATCTAGTTTTCTAGGGCTTTTCCTAACTTTGAAGTAGCAAATATTGCCTCATCGCTATTTTTGTCGTACGATCCTATGTCAACGGCAATAAATTTGTATTGCGCGTCAACTAATGCCAACAACACTACCGAAAAGGTGCGCTTGTAATTAAAAAAATTCGATCCACTATTTGGAGGGGCCACTATTTCGATATGTTTACCGTCTAGCGCCCCTAAACAATTAGGGAAATTCCACAAGTGCCAAAAATCATTGGCGATCGCTTTCCATTTCTCTTTGGTTGGCGTCGGTATGCATTCTTGCAGTAAATTTGATATTATTGCATTGCAAACATCCCTTACAATTTCGTGGACGGTGGAATGGCCGAGGCGATAACTAAAGGCAATAGTTCGTNAATTTTAATTTAAATAATTAGTGTTTTGATTAATAAACCAAAACTTACTACATCGAATGCACCTTCAATGCTCTTCAATGGTACCCTACAAAGGGTTGAAGATAATTTCTTACGAGCTTTTAGATAAGGTATCACAAGTAGGAGGTTGCCATTTAAGAATATAAAATTGGGGTGACTGGGGGCGAGGGGTTGTGTGAAAACAAGATAGCTATTACATAATTTTCCCCCTCCCTATTGTGTAAGTTGTTTTCAGCGATTTCTTTTATTTTATATGGCTGCTCAGATATAACCATTGTAAGTGTTCAAATTGTCACATTTTATGCCTGGTTGAGATAAATGCGATTATACATAACTATCTTTTTTGAAAACTATTTTGATAACTAGAGAAATTCCATCATAAGGTCAGATAATTGTTTATGAGTGCATGGAAAAAAAGTTATTGAATCAAAGTATTCACTTATGTGAAAACATGCATATTTAAAATGAATTGGATAAAGTGAGAAGTATAATATTCCAGTGTTTCAATGTAACTAACTTCATCAACCATTAGTTGTTGCATGATAACTGTTATTTCAGTACAGACTGAGTTTTTTTTTGTTACAAATATATATTTTTAACATAATGCATTTTTCTGAAAATGCAAGCAGCTTTCAGATCACAATGGTTTTTTAAATGACACACATGTCGTATTTCCATACAGAATCTCCTTTGATTTGTATATGGTAGTTTCTGGGAGTATTCTTAATAAAAAAACTTAGCATTAATCAAATTTTGTATAGTTATACAATTTTCTATTCACTAGTCACTATTGGTTGAGAACATGTAAAAACGACTAATATTTTCTTTTACTTCGAGTTAGAATATCTCCCATTACGATTTAATTAAATTATTATCGAATTGAAACTGAAGTTTCAAAAGGGTCTCCGCCCCTCTGGAATTGCTTTAGACTGAAATATAACTTCAGTTGTTCCAATTTCCCAGAGAGGCTAAATTCTTGTTACTACCGAAGGGGACTCGAACTAAATTTTGACGAAATTACAAGAGGTTTCAAAGTTGTGCCTTAATGTCACATTCCTTATCTCCAAAGTGGCTGGATTTTCCCCATTTTCTGTGCTGATGTTCTGAATTAATTCTACGTAGCTAAGAGATGCTAGCTTTTTGTTGATGTAGCAGGTGAAAAAAAGGTGAATCCCAACTCAAAACAGTGGCCTTTTTATTCGACAAATATAGCGCTGTCAAAGAAATTGGTCGAATAGTGAAATACGTGTAGCAGTTTTAAATAGGATGTTGAATATTCGAAATTAACTTCTATATGTTCTGAAATGTAACTATATAGTGCAATGCAAATGAAACGATATAGTGCAATCTACCTTCGAACAGCTCCCCTTTAGTAATATAGTTAGGGAGCTGACTAATTTCGTTATTCAATAATCAATAGGTGAGTGGGAAAGTAGAGATTCAAATAACAGGGTGATAATTGAAAATACTTCAGAATACTACTAACTCACATATATCTACAATAGATCGCTTCAAAAACACTTCACTAACTTTCGTCGAAAGGTTCTGATAACTCCTCTTCCATATTCTCTGTTTCACTGTCACTGTCGTCATTCAAATCAATAATGAATTTATTTGCACCAATATGAAGAGTTTTGTCACAGCAGCTCACATTAAGGCAGGAAATATTCAATTTTTTCCTTATGATTTCAGTTGCAGCAATTTCATTGCTTTTGTAACAGTCGCGGATTGCGTTCATATTGTTTGTTTTTGACTATTTTACGTACAGTCGAGAAAGAAATTTTGGTTAAAAATGATGTTGTTTGTAATAGTTTGTTTCTCTCGAAACCAAACTTGAGATGTAGCTGCTTTTTATACACATGGAAACATACTCTCTGTGTTTCAATATTCAAATGCATTCGAATCTTATTCACTGGTATCTCTTTTTCGCATTGTTCACCACCGCTATTGGAATCTCTACTGGAAAAAGTCTGCGTTGTTATCACAGTCGTTATTACTGTTAGTAATTGTCCAAGGACACCACATTTTGAACAGATAACAAAAATTTCAACAAATTATAACTGCACCAATATCGAATTTCAACACTCAGATCGCGATCAGTTCCTGAACTGAAAACGACGGTGATAACCATCCTCGCATTCCCGATTTCTATTCGTCACCGTAACATGACTTCAAATTTAATTTTATGACTCTTCAGCTAATCATAAAACTCGGTTAGTAAAAATTATCCAATACGAACCGCCAAATACAGTCCACGTGAACTAGTTTGCTGCCGGTTCATTTCTATGTATTGGTTTTTTTGGCCTTTGAGAGTGCCAAAAATATTTCGAGGAGAGATTGGTTTTTTCCACAATTGTGATGTTTGTGTTCCTTGATTTCAAAATTCAGTTTGAAGCCGATTTTTTTTATGTCCGGTTTACAATTTTCGAGATTTTAGTAAAATACTTGTATTTCCTTAATTACATCCTTCTCATGAATATTTTGGTCAATATTAGAATATGTTATTTTTGTTTTATGATCTTCCAAAAGTTTTGAAAGGATATCAGTGTTCAAATATCTATTTTTGTATCTGATATTTTGCTGAAAATGATTTTTTGAAATTATTGCAAAAGCAAATATTTTCAATGAACAGTTTCAATCCATATGAGTTCGAGTGCTTTATTTCTAGAGAAGTTTTCAAGTTAAAAAAATGCTGGTTATTTTTAATTCGCTTTGAGTAATATTAAATTGTTTCAAATGTTTTGTCCGTTTTACTGTCATATTTGTTCTACTGTGTTATGGTATATGCTGATCGATAGATAATTTTGAACTCGATACACTGATGTTCAATTTTATGTCTCTTTTCAGTTCATTACTATATGATGTCGTTGAGCGATTTTCGGCCAATTGATCCAAAGCGCTGCCGAAAATTTGACAATGATAGTGTTAATAAACGCAGTGTTCGACTTGGTTTGCAAAATTTCGTTCTGGAGATTTTAGCCTCGATGATGAGCCCCGAAGTCGTCGAACTAAATTGAATCAAGAAGGGGATTGGAGGATCCTGGTGGAGAATGACCCATCACAAATGGTGGGATGGTGGAAGAACTTGGCGTCGGTTCCCATGAGGTGTAAAATATATTATAAACGTCAAAAAGCTCGAAAAGTGAATGCTACACGATTTGAAAGGTTGATATAGTTGTCTGTTCTTTGCTTTTGCGCAACGAAAACGAACCTTTTTTTGGATCGGATCGTCACGTGTGACAAATAGTGGATTCCCTAAGACGACAAGAGACATTCAGGATAAGACAGTGCTTGTACACCGATGAGCCACCCAGGCACTTTCCAAAAGCATAACTATATCAAAAAACAGAAGAAGTCCGATCCTGCTTCACGACAACAACCGTTCGCACGTTTCCCAAATCACCGTTCGAAAATTGAACGAAATGAGTATCAAATTTCTGCCACAAATACACCAAAAACCTCTCGCCAACCAACTGCTATGTTTTCGAGCACTTCGATAGCTTTCTCAGCGGTAGAAACTTCACCAATGAGGATCAAGCAAAACAGCCTTTTTTGACTTCATGAAATCTCAAGCACACAATTTTAATGCTGGCGGAATTAGTTTTTTTGTCTTTCGTTGGCAAAAGTGCACTGATTCAAATGGCCCTTATTTCGATTGAATTGAAT